TTCAGGACACTACCTCAGGACACTGAGAATAGATGGCAGCCTGATGTCCTGACCCCGGTTCACTGGCTAAGTATGCAAGCCAACCCTCACCTGGCTAGCTTTGGCTGTCACTTTTAAAATAAGGCCAGGACTAAGGTTGCTTGTGGCTGTTCTTATCTCTCCTCTCCAGTGTTCTGAATCCCACTGCATATTTTCACCTGTTCATTCCACGTCAGGTCAGTGCAGAGCTTTCTTTGCAGCACCTCCTTCTACTAACATTTCTCAGAGGACTCTCAGTTCTGATGTCAGTCATTCAAGCTCAGAAGTTCCTATTTTAAATCTAAAATACTCTCTTGCCCCCATCACCAGTGCCCTACATTTTCGCCTGCTGTTTGAACATTAGTTATGTTCTTTCCTCCAGATTTACTATGATCTTGCCTAGATAACTGTACATTGCGAGAAGCAACTTCCTGTTTTTCTGTTGCACTCCATTTAAACTCTATTTTATTTTGGTGTATTTAAGCCTCTTCCTCCCATCCATCAAGCCTTTAACCTTAGGTAAGAGAGAGAAGGTTAGTGGGGAGGGGGAAAGGGGTTCAGACCCCTTTACTTGTCTTGGCTGTTTAGGTTCGATGGATTTATGGAGGGCTATGCCAATATCTGTCGACAGCAAATTCAGCAAGCAGTCTCCTCCAAGCCTCTGCATTGAAATAGTTCTCTCCATGTATCTCCTCCAAGCCACCACACTGTCCGTCTCTGGTCTCTCCAAACTGCCACACCTTCTTCTTCTGGACTCTCACTTTTATATCCCTCAGCAGAGTCCTAGACCTGGCCTCTCTTCTCTCCATGCTGCACAAGGCAGGCCGTTACCAGCTAGCTGGCAAAGACCTTGCCCTGCAGGAGGCAATTACCAGCTGTGGACAAACTAAAGCCCAAACTAAAATCCCATACTTGAGATTAAAGCAAAAACATTTACATAACATGACTGAGTTTTTAAAGAAACCAAAATTTTTGTTACATGTTTCTCTCATTCTCTATCACATATTCCTTTTACAATACTATTTTTATCCTCGATATTGGAAAAGACTGCCGACTGACAGACTAAAAAGGTCTTTCCTCTTTACATCAGCAGTCAAGGTCAGGTAGAATTTGGCTACAAGAATTTCTTTCAAAGAGAAGAGCAACTACTCTCTATACTCAACTTCATGATAAGGTCAAACTAGACTCCTTGAAATCTGAAGTACATCAGGATTTTTCCAGTAATGCTGACCTTTAGAATGCCCAGTTGACCTCAAACTACTTTTCATTACTCACTGCTGTGATACCCCTCAATGAAGTATCACATGTCCACAAGAAAGGACCTTTCAGTTGGACATGAGAGAAAAGAAGGCTTGCTACTAGTGAGAACAAGACTCCACAGGGCCTCTGAAAGACTCTACCTAGCAGTGTATCAAAGCAGATACTAAGACTCATAACCAAACCTTCAGTAGAGTACAGGGAATCATATGAAAAAAGGAGGAGTTAGTATGACATGGAAAGGATAGGAGCTCCACAAGGACCAAATATATCTGGCACAGGGGTCTTTTCTGAGCCTGACACTCGACTAAGGACCATGTAAGGACCTCTGCTCAGATGTAGCCCGTGGTAGCTCAGTAACCAATTGGTTTCCCATAGTAAGGGTAACAGGGACTATTTCTGACAGAAACTCAATGGCTGGCTCTTTGACCTCCCCACCCCCCAAGGGAGGAGCAGTCCTGCTGGGTCACAGAGGAGGATTTTGCAGCCAGTCCTGAAGATACCAGATAAAACAGGGTCAGATGAAAGGGGAGGAGGTTCTCCCCAATCAGTGGACTTGGAAAAGGGCAGAGAGGAGATGAGGGAGGGACGGTGGGATTGGGAGGGAATGAGGAAGTGGGATACAGCTACGATACAGACTTAATAAAATGTAACTAATAATAAAAAATAAAAAAAGACTCCACCATGCCCAGAGCTAAACTGACTCAATACTTTAGCTCATAGGTGATTATGTAGAACATCAGTTTTCTAATAAAGAAAGTGGGAGATAATGTGTATGTTGTATTTTCAGTTTCTTTTTAGTCACAGCATTTCCCTTCCCTTTTCTCACTCCAAATCCTCCCATATATATTATATTATGCATATATGTATATGTATATACTTATATATTCTTAAATATAATCAGTTCACTTCATGTAATACTACTTGTGTGTATGTTTCCAGGGCTGATCATTTGGCACAGGATAACCAATTGGTGTGCTCCTCCCTGGGAAAAGTTCTCTCATTTCCAGCTTTCCACAGTTGCCTGTAGTTCTTTGTGAAGGGCTGATGCCTCGCAGCCTTTTTCCCATCCACTTTGGCAAATTCAGTGGTGTCCTCTTTGCTCAGTTCACATTTGGGCAATCATGATGCTGAGATTTTACTGGGTTAGCTTCTGCTATTACTAGAAGACACAGCCTCACAGGAAATTCCCTGAACCTCTGGCTTTTTCAATCTTCCCATCCCCTCTTCCACAGGGAACTACAAGGAAACCATGCCTGGCTAGTAAAGTCATGGTTATTGGAGGAGAATCTACAACTACTAATTTAGTAAACCAGTAAACCAGCACAATCCATAACAACAATCTATAAACATTTGTCCTTAAACCCACAGATAAGCATAATCTTCATATTTCATCAAAGAAACTTTTCTTTGCAACAGATTGAGACCACTATGGAAAACCATAATCAATCCTCTGAAAGACTCTACCCAGAAGGGTATCAAAATAGATGCTAAGGCTCAGAACCAGACTTTCGGCAGAGTGCGGAAAATCTTATGAAAGAAGGGGGAGATAGTAAGACCTTGGGGGGGGCAGGAACTCCACAAGGAGAGCAACAGAAACAAAAAATCTGGGCCCAGAGGTCTTTTCTGAGACTGATATTACAACCAAGGACCATGCATGGAGATAACATAGAACTCCTATACAGATGTAGCCCATGGCAGCTCAGTGTCCAAGTGGGTTCCATAGTAAGAGGAACAGGGACTGTCTCTGACATGAACTCAGTGGCTGGCTCTTTGATCACCTGCCCCTGAGCGGGGAACAGCCTTACCTTGCCACAGAGGAAGACAATGCAGCCAGTCCTGATGAGACATGATAGGCTAGGGTGAGGTGAAAGGGGAGGAGGACCTCCCCTATTAGTGGACTTGGGGAGGAGCATGGGAGGAGAAGTGGGAGGGAGGATGGGATTGGGAGGGGACAAGGGAGGGGGCTACAGCTGGGATACAAAGTGAATAAATTGTAATGAATAAAAAATAAATTAAAAAACAAAGGAATTTTTTCAAGGGAAGAAAGGTAGAACACAGGATATATGAAGATAAAAGAGAAAATTGGAATGAAAAGAGTTAAATGGGATAGGGCATGGGAGAGCAGAGTAAAGGAAGAGGTAAGTGAACCACATTGAACATTGAAGACTTTTGAAAAAGCCATATGGAAACTTACTAATTTAGAGCCTTCCTAAGATGTATGATATGTAAAAGAGTTTAAATGGAGTTTAATGAGATCTGATAAGCTAGGGTCAGATGGAAGGGGAGGAGGACAACCCTATCAGTAGACTTGGAGAGGAGCATGGAAGGAGATGAGGGAGGGAGGAGACTACAGGTGGGACACAAAATGAATAAACTGTAATTAATATAAAAAATTAAAATTAAAATAAAAAAACAAAATGCAGAGGTGTTGAGCCCAGTTTCAATGAATGTATCTAGAAAATATTGTCTTGTAAAATTTGCAATGAAAATTAAAAGATGTAATGGATATTAAATCCTAATGAAGTTCCCATTACAATTTAGACTTTTAGTTAATGTCAGTCTTCTGTCCCTACTCTGAATGATCATATAACCCTTTTGTACTTCTCTTAGTCATACACATTTTCTTATTTGATGTTACCCACTATCATTAGATATCATTAGAGTGCTACAAAACTAATCCACCTTATTTTTAAAAGTTTTTATCAGGCTGGGTATATATATATAGGCAGAGGTAGAGTATTTACCACATATGTTCATAAGGCAACTACAAAGGCACAGTACCACACAAAAATAAAGTGAAATTTTAAAAGTAGAGGTACTGGAGATATAGCTCAGTGACTTATAGTATTTATTTCTCTTACAAGGAATGGGTTTGAGTGCCAGAACCGAAATGGTGGCTAATCACCCAGTTCCAGGGGATCCAATGTCCTCTGTTAACCTCTCAGGACACAAGGCATGCACATGATACATAGGCATACATGCGGATGAAACAAAAGAATAAAAGGAAACAGGTAGGAAATGAGGAGGCAATATTAAAAGTGGGCAAAGGAGTGAGCACTGAGGAGTGTTCACACGTGTGACTCAGCAAACACACGCTAAATAGAATAGGACAGCTGTGGCCTCTCGTTGATTATGTGTCCTGAGTTTCTGTTGTTGTTCTTTTCATAGTGATACCGAATTAACTTGACAAATTATGGCTTATCTACTCAACTTAAGATGGGTTATTCCTTTAAACCGAGAAATCAACTCTGGATTCCATTAATGGACCTGAGACATTTACCAAAATAAGAAAGGAAAGGTGATCAGTCAATGGTTGACAAAGGTGATTGATGAGTTGAGGAGACAACATAAATCAAATTACAGTGTTCACTTTCCCGATGATAACACATTAGGGAAATCTTTATTCTCTACTATAGTAGTCCATAAGTCGTGTCCTTAAAAAATGATTTTATTTTTGGTTTTATATGGTATTAAATTGTAGAGTGATTTTTTAAAATAAATTCTCAGAATACCTCTCACTTCACAGACAAGGTCACAGTTTCAAGAAGGCTGAACATTTCATGTGAGAGACAGAGGGAGACCAGTTCTTGGTGTGGTTTTATGCATGCAGTGTCTGATAGAAAACTGTTCATTCTTCCTCACTCCCTTCTCCTGTATATTTCACTTTTAAAAACACTGTTAGATTGAAAGCATTCCATTACATTTATGAAAAATAACATTACCATACTGTCTCCAGTCTGCAGGGGGTAAGTGCTGCCATAAGATGAGGTTGTTGAGATGATTGAGGTAGGAGGGTAAGGAATGGAAACCCTTCTGGTTATACCACACCTGAAAAAGAAAGACATGATAAATATTATTGAAAGTGGTTCTTAACTTTGTTCTTGGGGCAGAAAACACACACGTGTCAATAAGCTTCACCAGTACCTGAACGCAGGACTCAGAGCTATGCTCTCTCATGGCTGACAGTGACAGCCAATTCCAGTCTGCTAATTTTATGTTTATCTCAAGCATATAATTTACAGCTAAAAATAGATTAATTTTCCCCAGAACAAATGTGAATGTAGCTTTATAATTATAGTCTCATAGGATTTGGGACCAAAGCCTATTATATATTTTTTTTCTCAGTTGGTAAGCTAATGAAATTTGACCTGCAAATTAAAGGCGTGAAAGATGATCAGAAAAAAATGATTACTTTCAATTTAATAACTGCACGTGGAACATTATTTCTCAAAATAAATTGAATTGAACATTTGTTGAGCATGGAGAATAAACCCGTGTACCTCTTGAGAGGAGAAAGGTGAAGGAGAAAAGGGAAAGACAATATAGTGAGGACCAGGTACTAAATATCATAAAAACCATTAACAGAACCATTGCCTCCCATTCCTCAAAATACCAAGATTTTAACAAAAACTGAAATATGTATGGTAAGTCTACAAAGCTGGTATCTTTGAGGAATACAAGAAGTCAAGTAGCACATCTGGGTCCTAATTCAGCTGTGGTGGACAGCACATAGTTCTAGCGATGCCGTTTTGGATCAGATAATCTACTTTGAAGAATAAGACAGAAAGTTAGCCCTCGGAGAAGCCCGCTCAAGCTTGCATACATGCGTACATTAAGTGAAAGCTAGACCACAAGTCACTTGTCCTCCCTATTTCTGTGACTAATTATATTTTCAAGGACCCTGGGTAGTATTCTGTGGTAACAGCTAAGTAATAAAGTGCTATAAACATGAAATAAAATAAAAAACTACTATACAAGTCAGTGTTCTCCAATTCTTTCATTTCAGTAGACAGGAACCCTATCTTTCACGCAACTAATTCCTGTTTCCAAGTGCTTATTTACTTCACAGAGTCTTCCTTTAAATGGCAAGAAAAAGGAAGACCTCGTGAAACTTACTAAATACAGAGGACAAGATATTCTGTGAGTGTTGAAGCTCTGCCTAAACACAGTAGCAGAGCATGAGCAAATTCCACTTGCAAGTGTTAGGTATTTCAGAGCTACAATCCTGCCAAGCAGATTGAGGCCTGAGTTCTGGGATGGAGTAAGAACTAAGTTAATGGAGCCTGGATCACATTTCAGAAGTATGTCTACCGCTTTAGCCTAACAGATACTTCCCTAAAAGTTCTGTATTGTCACACACACACACACACACACACACACACACACACACACACACCACAGAGGTAATAGTCACTTTTCCTGGAAGCTCATTTCTCTACTATGACACAGTTTCATTAAGAGCTTAACAAAGACAAGGAAAAAGAGAAAGAGATAATGTAGTCTTCACCTGTATCACAAATTTTCAAATTATATTTTGATTTTTCCTGTTTGTTTTAATAGGCTGATACATTTTAAACGTACAGTATCTTAGAACCACGATAACAACAGGGTGGTGGTGTAGAAGGGAGTAACAGAGGTAGAGAATTGGGAGCCTCTGCTATCCCCTCCCTATGCCTCATCTCCCTGTGCTCTTAGGTTTCTGTTAAAAAAAAAAAAAACACACTTAAGGGCTCCCAATGCTCAACAGCCTTGGTCCTTTGCCATGATACTCTATTCTTGGTCACTTGCTTTGAATCACAAAATGAGACAATGGAAGAGATTTAAAAAGCACAGAGATGTATACTATGTCCTTCCTGGGCCTCCCACATCACCCAGAGGACCTGATAGAGTTAAGACACAGAGTGGAGCTGAGCTCAGACTTCACACACACACACACACACACACACACACACACACACACACACACACATACACACATACACATATCCATCATTTGAAGGATATTTTCATTTAAATAATTCAATTTAAATATTAAACATTTCAATTCAAAAATTCTAAAGTAAATCATCCATCTTCCTCCTATCGAAAGCAAACAGACAGTCAACGACACACATGTTCATTCCTGTCCAAGGTGAGCCCAGTGGAGATGATAACAAAAGAACTTCACAGCCTCTAAGCTAACAAATGATCTTTGTTGAGGTGGTTAAGATTTGGAAACCTTGGGAGTCAATATTTATATGGGAACAAATAACTGACACAGCAATTAATACTGGCAGGAGGTGTGACTGTCACAGAAACTGGAAATACAGGGCACCACTTTAAGATTAGCACCTGGGTGACAAGAGAGATTTGTAGAAATTTGGAAATAGGAGGAGAAATGTGCAGAAATGTTGCAGAAGTGGCAAGATAGCCTCTGTGGACCACTGATAAAAACATGGGTCCTAACTACACAGTGGTACACATTTGTCAAAAGTGTCACCTGTGGTATCTCTGAAGACAAAGCACAGAAACTGCCCAGCAGACCTGGGTTGGAGGTTTCTTAGCAAGAGGCGGAGAGATAGGGCTTCATATTAGAGAGTAAGAGTAGTGCTAAGTGGCTGTCTCAAAGAGACAGAAGGACCTTGCACTTCAAGGTGTGTGTTGCTCTCTCGGAGGCTGAAAGTCCCCAAGCCTCAGTAATTAAGGTTAAGAATTCACCAAGCGCTTGTCTCAACAAGAACCACAGGCACAGCAGCTTGTGGCCCTTAATTACATCAACAAACAGCCCAGCACAGTGCAGAGAGCTGCACAGGGGAGTCAACAGCAAACTGAAGGCCTACTGCCAGACTGTGCTACAGCCCAGCTTTCTGTGCAACCAGCTGATGCACTGCCTGGAGGGGCATTTGCACATACCCTCTTCACATGGAGCCATGAAAGAGGATGAAGGATGGTATAGAGATGCAAATCATTGCAGTGATGGACTGGGGACAGTTCCCAAGTGGCAGAGCCAAGGCTCAGCTCAGAAGCAGCCTTACAGCCAAAGTAGCAGGTGGCATCACTCTGCACAGCTCACAGTTCTCCAGCCCTGTAGTCATGAGCTAAATACTTCTGTACCGAGGATGCTACTGAAGACTCAGCTATTTTAGACTTTTGTTTCAATAAAGACTTCAGTGCATGAGCTTCCAGGAATAGAATTTAAAATGCTCATGAGCTCCTCTTTCCTTTTTTTTTTTTATTAAGTGATCTTCATTTGAGAGGGCCTTTATTAATTTTTTAATCGAGTAATTTTTAAGATGATCTTAAAATTTGCACTAAGGACTTTGCAACATTCAAATGAAAAGTGTTTCCTTCCTTTCCTTCAAAGAATTCTTTTCTAAAACCACATTGTGTTCTAGAAATAGTTACGGGATTTCTTTCCCTGTTGGTTCAAAAGTCAGAAAGTGAGAAAGTTCACTAAAGGAAGCAGGAAGTTAATCTTGTAGGAACACATTATGTTAGCTCCCATCTTCTCAGGAAGCACAGGTAATGATTCCTATGAAAAGGAACTGAGAACAGAAAGAATAAAGTCAGTCTGGGCATACTCGCCTGTGTAAAATCATAGGCAGAAGAGAATGTTCCAACATACACACAGAGAGAGAGAGAGAGAGAGAGAGAGAGAGAGAGAGAGAGAGAAAGAAAGAAAGAAAGAAAGAAAGAAAGAAAGAAAGAAAGAAAGAAAGAAAGAGAGACAGAGAGAGAGGTACACATGCTTTTGGCCTCTTTTTCTTTTTTTAATGTATATTCTGGAAAATGAATTTGGATTAAGTAAGGTGTCAGTCAGGTTGTCATGAGAAGGTCCCTGGGAGGTATTCTATACTCACTGAATCATGTACTAGGCATCTTCATATCCAAATGTCTTTCTACTTTTTCTTCAAAATAACAATGACAATCAACATTTATATCTTAGAGGTACAGCCAGAAATCTGAAGGGAAAGGCTGACGAAAGGATAATGAAATCATGTGACAGGACAGCAGCCACCTCTGGGCCCAGACTCCAGAGCCCTTTGTTCCTCTCACAATATCAGATTCCCTGGCTTCCTGGGAAGAAGTGCATTTCCCAAAGTTTAGATAGAGTTTGTTCAAGCACCTATAAAGACCACACCAGGCAGCACAAAACTCCCGAAATAACCACTGAAACACCCCACTCCAGAAGACCCATGTGGGTCAACAGAAACAAGAGTCAGAACAACACACAAGCCACTCCTACCCGACCTCTGGGTAAGAGGCCTGTGCTTTGGACATCTGAAAACCAAGCTACAAACATGTGACAGCAACAAGCAGCATCTAGACTTGGATAGAAGAGTCAAGGCATTGTTACAAAAAGTCATCAGGACCCTACTAGTGACCCCAGTTGGTCAATATTTTAACCATATCTACATAATACCCTTTACTATAAGCCAGCAAATCCACACAGGTTATTTCCCTTTAAGTTCTGGATGCTGGGATTCTCTTGTCGAGCTATAAATCTACATGCATATCGATTTTAAAAGGCGAGATATTTGAAGAGCCCTCAGCCAAGGGAGGGGTTTCTCTGCAATTCGCACTATGAATTGGGATTTTCTTTAGGGATTAGATTGTAAAGTATAGCTGTTGAGATGAGAAGTTCTCCTCAGGGATATATGTTAAGTGCCTGCAGGGAGCTTTATTCCAAGAGTAAACCCCACAAGCACGCTCTGTTTCAGGGGAAGCACAGACACCCTGCTTCCCAGTGGGGAGTGTGATTCCTGGGCACACCGGGGTGGCATTGGTTCTGTGGTGAGTTTATGAGCAGATGGGATGGATACCTTCACACTAAAGGAAGAAATGACATGGCCATCTCTCCATTCATTTCTTCACACTGGATTTAGCTTCTTCCCCTAATCTTCTGTTTCCAAATGCCCTCTCAAATGTTATCTGTGCTTCTTCTCTAATCACAGTGACTGGAAGCTTTGATCTTTTCATCTTTGCCGATTTTAAGCTATTTTGACAATTTTCCTTAGGGGAAAAATTGTTATTTGTCATTTATGAATTTCCAATGTGGATAAAGACGGTCTTCTAGCCAATTCTTACTTTCTCAAACAAGAGCATACCTATCTCCTAAGGTACACTTTCTGGGAAATGGAAATCCAGAGCCCCTGAACATTATCCCAAGTTACTGATGTTTGCTTTATGGCAGGCTGGCTGGCATGCACACAGTCTTTTGGAAGATGAGGAGTTCTCAACTCCATGCATGGGAGAATTCCTTAGCATCCATGAACTGTGATAATGGCTCCACTCATGGGAACCCCAGGCATCTTTAAAAGTAGATCAGCCTTTCTTTTACTTTAGTCTAATACATGAAATCCTATCTAAACAAAAAGTAGTGACATGTTTGTTGTACTTCTATACCCTCTAAACAAATCAAATCATCTTTCTTTCTCTCAAGAGAATCTTTATAACATAATCGTTCTCAATTTTCACTAACAGACAATGGAATGTCATCTGTCTTTGGCAAGCCCATGCTCACAAATGTACAAAAATGCTTTTTTTTTCCCTAAGTAAGTTCTAAAACATCAAGAAAGGGAATTCTATTACCTTTGCCAAAGTCCTTGGTTTTGATGTGTTTGTCTTCACGTCTTCAGCTTCAGTGGGGATTTGTACTCCAAAAGACCAACCTCCAAGCCTATTAGGTGTAAGCATGGGTGTTAATCCTGTCAGGGTACCAGGAATTCCACTCAAAGGATGATTCAGAAACAGCATAGCAGTTACAGTCATCTCCAGACAGTGGCCTGCTGAGCATGTCTCATCTGTTGCATGACCACATAGATTGAGAGACCTGCTGATGGGAGTAGCCTGGCCTCAGTCTAGCACCTAAATACGGTATTGCTTATGAAGAAGGAATGCACGTGGCTCACCATGCTAGAAACTGTGTTCATTAGCCTTCAGCAGGAAATAAGCACGTCAGAAAGACATGGTTGGTTAATTCATAAGCATTCCACCATTTAAATCCACTGTTTAGGATTGCTTGCCCCAGTGTAATCTTACAACCACCTGGTTTAGATGTCCTGCTCTGCTCCTTTCCTTTATGACTCACAGCTTGCCTTCCTGAAGAAGGGATCACGGAACTATAGTGGGTAAGACATTCCTTCTCACTTGAATAATCCCAATACCTTCTATCAGTTATATCAATTACCCCACTGAGTTTTGTAATCATTAACTTTTGTCTTTCATGCAGCTAATAAGTGTTTCCTGAATGAGAATTCTGTAGCTTTATCTCTGTGGGATATGTGGTAACTTACACTTATTAACCTTCCCGATATAGCTGACATCAGAAATAACGGTGCACATTAAATTGACTTCCCAGTCTCTGGATGAAGGCAAAATGAATTAAGAACAGTCATATACCATAGCATCCTTACTGTAAAAAATTAAGAAATAGGGATGCGCTCCCATCTGGGTCAGCTGAGTCCATTCATCCATTCAACAGGCTTGGCCTGAGTACCTCTGATATGCAACATACTATTCCAAATTCTGAGCATACAACTTTCATCCCATCAAAGTTAGGAAAGAGAAATATATTTAAGAATGCTAGGAGGGAAGGAAGGAATGGAGGTGCAGAAAAACCAGAGTCCAAAAAAAAAAAAAAGTCACTGTTGAGGGCAATGGTAACATATTGGCCTGGCAGCAAAGGAGAAGAAGTAAATGCAAAGTGGTGTGGTATCCTAGCAACGTGGACAAAATATGGGACGTCTGTATCTACAAAGCAATGCAGTATGTTTTGGAGACTTGGGAAATTTGACAGGATAGTGAATGCTGCTGACATTGAAAGCAATGTCAAGAGCTCATACCTATCTACCACACCTATAGTCATCTCTTTCAGCTCCAAAAAAATTCAACATATTTTTTTTTCCAAAAGCCACAAGGAATTGTAAGACATGATTTGTTCCCAGCTTCCATTACCAGGTGCTACACAGTAGATGAAATTTTTTAGCAAGAGACCATTAACTCATTGTGCCATTAGCTCTTCTGTGCTATTCCTTGAAGCAGCACAAGGCTGGCTTCCCTGCCTCTGCCACTGATGAGATCTCAATGACATGATTACCCCAATGCTTCAAAGGCTGAAAGTCAGCAGTGAAGAATCTGATTAAGACCTACAGTGCGGCTTTGAAATTCATATCAACACCAACATCAGACTTTTGAACATTAATGCTCATTAACATTTAAAACAATGAGTTTTTCAAAGTACAGTCGACTCTCAAAGTTCATGGGCTCTACACATCTGTGGGTTCAACTAACTACAGGTTGAAAATATTCAGAAAAATCACAGTTCTTGCAGTCAACATTTGATCTTTTTAGTCATTATTTTTCACTAAACAATGCAGACTAGCTGTTCCCATGGCATTTGTAGCATGAGTCATTTAAAGAAGACTACAGAATGGGGCCCTATGCAAGTACCATACCACTGTTTTCTATAGGGACTCAAGCTCTTGCGGATGTGAGTTCCCTTTGGGGTCCTGGAACCAGTCCCTGTGCATGTGGAGGGGCAACTGTAACTCAAAGACAATAGGAAACATCAAGAAACACTTCTGTACGCACCTTGGTTTTGCAGACGGCACTAGCAAGTACTCTTCCACATCATAGCCTGAGAGGTTGAGCAGTGTGTGTCCCAGGCAGTTGGTCAGATAGGGAGCCCTGGCACTTTTATTTGGACACTTCTGTAATTGTTTTCAAAGAAATAAAACAGAAACTTTTTCAGAAACCACAATGGCTTACTTTAAACTAAAAGTGACTTTTCCTAGCTTTCAATTTTTAATAAATTATCTCCAACCTTTTATACATTCTGATTTCTAAAATCTCCTTAAGAGCCTCCTGCAGTTGAGGGTTGTACCAGAATTCCACTGTGCTGTCAATTATATCTGATAACATAAATCTTTTTTTTTTTTTTTGCATGTAAGTTTGGGCAGATCTGTAAGAACTAAAAAGGGATAGATATTTTCGATGGCATGATCTATCATTTGAAGAAGTTGCAAGAGTCAGAGGCAACTAGTAGGAGAAAAATAAGCAGGAGAATTCAAAGACCTGTGTTTCTTTCATAGGTGTTGGAGGCCAAACTCAGACAGCATTCTGAGATTTGCCCAAGTCTGCATAATGAAAGAGCATCAAATGAAAAAGGAGGGAGTTGCTGACCCACTGGTCACTGGATAACTGCCACCCTGCCACAGACAGGATTCAGAGTAAATGTGCTCTGTTTCCACTTGTGTAAAAGCAAGCTTGAAGGAAATAATATGAAAATAGAAAAAGTGCTGAGAACTTTTTATTCCAGCTTTGGAAACTTGTTTTTTCTTCAAAACTGGAATCAAAGTACTCTGACCTAACATATGGGTTTTTTGCCCAGTTCCTATGTACATGTAAGAATTATGGTTACATCAAGAGGGTCATATAAATTTAAAGTTTGATTTTCCAAAAGGTAAATTAGATAGTAAGAGTATTAATTGTTGGAAGTTATGGCTTAACTAAATTCTCACACATGTACAAGTTTAAAAAGTCAAATCAAAGAAACAGACAGCAAAATAATTGCTGTAGCAGGTGTAGGGGACATGAGAAAGCTATTGGTCACAGCCCCAAACCTTCAGTTAAACAAGAGGCAAAAGTTCCCAGGCCCAGTGCGCATGTTCACGCTAACTCAAACCATGCATTGGATACCTGAAAACTGAGCACATCCTAGTGCTTCTGAGCAAAGAGACTTAAGTTTACTGTGGACCAGCTCATCAAAGCTACTTAATATGTTCATTCCTGCTGGGCGTGGTGGTGCATGCCTTTGACTCCAGCACACAAGAGGCAGAGGCAGGCAGATCAAGGTGAGTTCAAGGTCAGCCTGGTCTACAAAGTGAATTTCAGGACAGCCAGGGATGTTACAGAGAGAAACCTTGCAAACAAACAAACAAAAAACAACAACTAGATAGATAGATAGATAGATAGATAGATAGATAGATAGATAGATAGATAGATAGATAGAT